AGCTCCACATTTCAATTGTGCCCAGCCCCTGCAGTTTCCTTCTCCATCCTATGCATCCTAAACCTTGCCTCATCGCCTCATAATTGCCTTTCCCCCAGCTATAACTCTTGCCCTGCTTTATATACCGATCCCTTTCCATCGCTAAAGTAAACGTAACCGAATTGTGGTCACTATCACCAAAGTGCTCACCTACCTCCAAATCTAACACCTGGCCTGATTCATTACCCAGTACCAAATCCAATGTGGCCTCGCCTCTTGTTGGCCTATCTACATACTGTGTCAGGAAACCCTCCTGCACACGTTGGACAAAAACTAACCCATCTGAAGTACTCGAACTATAGCGTTTCCAGTCAATATTTGGAAAGTTAAAGTCCCCCATAACAACTACCCTGTTACTTTCGCTCCTATCCAGAATCATCTTTGCAATCTTTTCCTCTACATCTCTGGAACTTTTCGGAGGCCTATAGAAAACTCCCAACAGGGTGGCCTCTCCTTTCCTGTTTCTAACCTCAGCCCATACTACCTCAGTAGACGAGTTGTCATCAAACGTCCTTTCTGCCACCGTAATACTGTCCTTGACTAACAATGCCACACCTCCCCCTCTTTTACCACCTTCCCTGATCTTACTGAAACATCTAAACCCCGGAACCTGCAACAACCATTCCTGTCCCTGCTCTATCTATGTCTCCGAAATGGCCACAACATCGAAGTCCCAGGTACCAACCCATGCTGCAAGTTCACCCACCTTATTCCGGATGCTCCTGGCATTGAAGTAGACACACTTCAAACCACCTTCCTGCCTGCTGGTACACTCCTGCGATAGGGTTGAAACCTTATTTATGACCTCACTACTCTCAACCTCCTGTACACTGGAGCTACAATTCAGGTTCCCATCCCCCTGTTGAATTAATTTAAACCCTCCCGAAGAGCATTTGCAAATTTCCTCCCCAGGATATTGGTACCCCTCTGGTTCAGGTGTAGACCATCCCATTTGTAGAGGTCCCACCTACCCCAGAATGAGCCCCAATTATCCAGGTATCTGAATCCCTCCCTCCTGCACCATCCCTGTAGCCACGTGTTCAACTGCTCTCTCTCCCTATTCCTCGCCTCGCTAGCACGTGGCACGGGTAACAAACCAGAGATAACAACTCTGTTTGTTCTAGCTCTAAGCTTCCACCCTAGCTCCTTGAATTTCTGCCTTATGTCCCCATTCCTTTTCCTCCCTATGTCATTGGTGCCTATGTGGACCACGACTTGGGGCTGCTCCCCCTCCCCCTTAAGGATCCCGAAAACACGATCCGAGACATCATGGACCCTGGCACCTGGGAGGCAACACACCAACCGCAAGTCTCTCTCGTTCCCACAGAATCTCCTATCTGTCCCCCTAACTATGGAGTCCCCAATGACTAATGCTCTCCTCCTCTCCCCGCTTCCCTTCTGAGCAACAGGGACAGACTCTGTGCCAGACACCTGTACCTCATGGCTTACCCCTGGTAATTCCCCCCCTCCAACAGTATCTAAAACGGTATACTTGTTTTTGAGGGGAATGGCCACAGGGGTTCCCTGCACTGTCTGCCTGTTCCCTTTCCGTCCCCTGACTGTAACCCATCTACTTTTTTCCTGTACCTGAGGTGTGACTACCTCCCCGTAACTCCTCTCAATTACCCCCTCAGCCTCCCGAATGATCCGAAGTTCATCCAGCTCCAGCTCCAGTTCCCTAACACGGTTTCCGAGGAGCTGGAGTTGGGTGCACTTCCCGCAGATGAAGTCAGTGGGGACACTAGTGGTGACCCTTACCTCCCACATTCTACAGGAGGAGCATACAACTGCCCTAACATCCATTCCCACTGTTCTGAATTCCCAAACAGACAAATAAAAAAGAACTAGTAGCCTTACCAAATCAGCGCTCAGAACCTTTTTTTTTGGTTAGAGGAGGATGATGACACTACCTAGGTAGTGTTTCGGGTAAAGCAACCGCCCAAATATATTACCTCACTTACTCCAAAAATGGAGTCACGCGAGGTAACCGAAAAGCTTACCTTCCCAGGCTGCCCTCGCGCTTCCTCCCGGACTCCCGCCGCTGAAACATCCTGCATTTACATCACCGGCCCTGCCATTTTTGTGTTTATTAATTTGATACTTTTACATGATTAATAACCCTACCGTAGCCAATAAGTATAATGGCTAGAAACTTCACTAACAATTTATTCACAACTGCATGATTTTATCTTAATTTTGAGGAATAAATGCATGAAACACTTGCCCATCTATCACATACCTCTTTCCTTATGATGTTGATTGAGGGATAAATACGGATCAGGGTATGACCTTGCATTCCTTTACATTCACCTCAGAGGACAACCCAATTTAACGTCTCATTCAAAAGACAGCACCTCCAACAGTGCAGAGCTTTAGCTCTGCAGTGTTTTGATCTTTGTGCTCAAACTCCAGGAGAGGGATTTGAACACACAACCTTCTGACTCAAGAGGTGAGAGTACTACCACCTTAGCAAGTTTGACAAGTAAATAAAGTACTCCAGCAAGTAGTTCTAATGTCATCTTTCAGCATTGCATCAAGTGGTTTATTAGCTTCCCTCTATACCTGTGTAAAGATTGTTACAAGTTACTTCAAAATATTGCAAGAATGACTGCACTTTAAAGCCAATAAGAAACTTCTTGACAATTCTTTGGAATGATCTGACAGGAGCCACATAAAATACTTAAAAGCATAACAGTATTTATGTCTAACTTGTAGGGTAATTATATTTCACATCAAGCGAGAAATATATTGAATAAGTGAACAGGTCACACTTGGTACCAAATATATGCCTTATTTCACTTTACAAAACACCAGGAACATCATCACAGAATGTAAATTCAGGATGGGTTTATTATCAATGGTGCCAACTTGTTTCTAATTTTCAAATTTCCTTCTGGAAGTATGAATGATGCTGAAAGCCTCATGTTTGTTCTCCAGTCTTAGGTGATTGTTCTTCTGGATTTGCTGTAGTCCCAATGGTTGGAGTCTGGGCTCCAATCACACAAACAGTGTATCCTGGATGGTGTTTTGACTGTTGTGGCAGCTATACCCATCCAAGTGCATGATGAGTTAACCATCACTAGGCTGACTTGAGCCTTAGAATTGGGGGAAATATTGAGAGATCAGGAGCTTAAACCTCTCCAGAATTATGTTAGCATGGATTGGTCTTTGTCTTAGTTTGTATAGCTAGCAGAGCCAGTGAAAACTGAATAAATTTGTTGCATATTTATAAAAATGTAACATTAATTTTTTTTATATTTATTCAGGGGACGCAGACTTCACTAGCTAGGTCAACATTAATTGCCCATCCCTTAATGCCTCAAGGTGGTGGTGATGAGCTGCCTTCTTGAACTGCTGCAGTCTGTTTGGTGTAGGTACACCAATTATGAAATTTACATTATTTATTCACAAAGTACTTTCTGAAATTAAAACTATTAAATAGGACAGCTTAACTTTCTGTAGCACTCTTCAGGTGCAGAAACATTTATCAGCACCTGTCTTTATTAGCATTTGCAAGACTGTAGACTAATCAAAAGGGGAGAAAAATTGAACAAATATGCTCTGCAGAAGTCTTTGAAGACTGGCAAGCAGCAGATAAGGTACAGCTGCTAGTGGAGAGTTTAGAAGGCAAGACATAGAAAACATATGTAAGAGTGTCCTACTGGAACAGATCACTGTAGATTTTGACCAGTTGGTAGTAACAGAGCTTAGTCTGAAGATGCATTGGTGATTTTAACTACAGAAGTAGTTCAGAACTTTGGTTTTGCATCCACTGAAATAAAAGGTCATCCTCCAGTTCAAAGGATTGGAGCATAAAGTAGGGAAGTTTAGGTAAAACTATACAAGGCATTAGTTAGACCACAGCTGGAATACTGTGAACAATTTTGGGCCCCTAATTTAGGAAAAAGATGTACTGGCATTGGAGGCAGGTGAGAGAAAGTTCATGAGGCTGATACTATGTATGGAGGGATTGACTTGAGAAATTGAGTAGGTTGGGCCTGTATTCTGTGGAATTTAGAAGGAGAACGAAAGGCAACCTAATTGAAGCATGCAAGACCCAGGTTGACAGGTTAGATGCGGAAAGGTGGTTTTTCCTTGTGGGACAGTCCAGGACCAGAGGGCATAATCTCAAAATAAGGGGTCACACACTTAAGACAGAGTTGAGGAAGAATTTCTTCTGAGTGTAGAAGATCTGTGGTTATTAAGCTAACAAGGCTGAGTGTTTAAGTATATGTAAATGTTTAAGTATATCTAAAGGTTGAGATAGAGTTCTTTTTAAAATCAGTAAGGGAATTAAGAGTTATAGGGAAAACAGTAGGATCTCAATGAATATTTGATATAGGTGGCATGATTTACTGAAAGAGGAGGTAACTCTAAATACCAAATCAGGGTAAGAATTGAAGCAGAAGCCATTTTTCTGCAAGCTGTCACCAAGTAATAATCTAAATGAAGGGGAGGCAAGCCTTTGGGGTGTACCAGTCATAACCACTTGCACAGAACTTGAGTATTATTGAAAATAAACATGTAAATTTTAAACCAGGAAGCTTGACTTCAAGGTGCTGAACTGGAAAATGGCTCTCACCTATTGCTTTATATAGGTTGTATATGCAAATTCTTACATGGCAAATAGTTAAGGTATTCATTTATACCATGACGTTTGCTTGATGAACAGTATTTTAACTGCTGTTATTGGACCTTCACTCCAAATTCAAAATAATTTATTTGGGTAGGAATGCTACCCAACATAAACAGCTCTGATCTGACCAGTTGGACTTTATTTAGGATCTTGGACCCCTGCTTTAAATATGAGTAACAAGCTGTAATGATTACAAGCCTTTTGCTTTTCCCCTGTGTGATTGATGGGGGCAGGTGCAATAGTTTAAGCTTCAAGAAAGGGCTGGGGATGGATGTCAGAGTGGGAAAATGTCAAAGTATTCATTGACAAATTTTAGTTTGAAGTTTGGATCAAAGTTCCTCTATCTGCGCAATGGTGTTGCATGCAAAGGCCTACTTTCACCTCCTACCCAGGGAACTTTTTCCATCTTTGATATTTAAAATATTTCTCATTGTATCTTTGTGTACATACTTCTATTGCCATCAAAATACAAAATTTAGCTATGTGCCAGGACTCCAGCCAATGTAGTCTCACGACTGAAGTTACTAAATACCATTTCCAAGGCCAGTTCGCTTTTTGTTATATGTCGTTGCATAGAATGCAGTACTGGAAAGGAACCAACTAGACCTCTTCATTATAACTAAAGTATTTTTTTTTTGGTCTCATTACAGAAAAGATCAGAAAGGAAATTAATGGTGTACAATCTCCACAGAAGTGCTCAATTTCCTAAAGCTTGTATCTACTAATTTAGACCCATTGATTTTGCTGCTCAGGTGAACTGAAAGGAAACAAACAGGGCTGATTTATATGAAATGTTAAAATAAGTCAATACTCTCCTGAGCCAAATGAAGTATATAACATGGTGACTGTTTACTGCAAATACAAAAGGATGCCATTTCAGTGCAGTTGGAAATTTGACAATTTGATGCATCATCATTATTATTATTTGGTACTGCTTCTTTGAAAGCCAGAATGACATTGATGAAAAGGAAGGAGACACAGAGCCCTGGATGAAACTGTGAAGGCAAAATTATGAACATTGAATAACCAAACAGAAGATAAGTGGAGGACTACTATTTTGCTCCCCCCAGATGAATCAGACAGATTAAAGGACTGTCTGATTTGAAATATGGTGTGAAGATGAGAGATTCAGAACTGCCATTCAGCTGTGCTAAACTTGTACATCACTCTTCTTTTAATACACTTCAAATTTATGACTTAGATGAAGCTTTTATGGCTTATAGGGCTGTGTCAAATTTTATTTAACATTCATGTGAAGTGCCTCAAGATATTTTACTACATTAAATAAAAATGCTCTTGCATAAAAAACCTCTTACAAATCAATGAATGAGTCCATATTAATATTTCTTCCAGAAAGGAGTTTGTTACATGAAAATAATTGAGTATAGTAAGCTTCATAGAAAAGTGTTGGTCAACAATAATTTGCACATGGTAGTATGTAGAGATTTGAAGTCAAATGGAATACAGCAAATACATAATCTGGTTTTTATCCTACAAATGATCCAATGACCCATACTGTGGTCTCCTCTTGTTTTATATTTGAAATTGTACTTTCCGGGATCAATAATTGAGAAGTGGAGAAGGGAGCTGATCTCAGTAACATTAGTGAACATAAAGCTACCAACAAATGGTTGTGAAACCCACTTGGGTTTACTCACATCCTTTAAAGGAAGGAAAAGTGACAATCTTGACTGGCCTACATATGACTTCACACCCACCTTAGAGGAGTTGAAATCTAACTGTCTCCAATTGATCAAGTAAGCCGTTACATTGTACCAAACTGCCGCAGAAAAGGGACCTGCATGTTGTCAAGGTGGTGATGACCTCAAAAGCAAATGTGGGGATGGGCAACAAATATGATCAAGTAACATGCAAGAACATGAACTAAAATAAATATTACAAATAAGAGAAAAGTGTCATCTGACCATATGCATCGAGCCGTTGCTTACTGGATAGGGCTTATATTAGTCAAGTCAGACATGCACCTTTGGGTATAATCATTCCCCAGTTTAAAACATATCAAAAGTTTGACATACACAAGCCTGTTGGACATCGCATTTCTGGCTTCCATCAGCTCCTCATCTATTTTCTTTTGAAAGGTTCCAAATAATGCACAAATGAGGAACCTGTGTGATTCTCAGGATTTACAACTTAAAATAATTAGTAAAAAGATTCATTGTGAATTTAGCTAATAATAATAATGCATATCCATGATACTTCTTCACACCCCCTTTATCCAGCTTGTTTGGCACATTTAAATTATGACATTTTCTAGGCTTCTCTTAGCTGAAAACAGAATTTAAAATCATAAGTTCCAAAATTTCAAATGAACTGTTAACAAATCTCATGAGAAGATTTTTACTATCAAATGGGCTGGTTATGAAACAGGCAGTGCGTACACATGTTCACCCTGTGTTAATGCTTCTGTATGTACAGCAAGTTACATGCATTAACACACAAGGCATTGTTCTTTGCAGACAGACTGAACAAGCATCCACTCAGTGCCTATTCCAACAACAAAATAAGTAACAGCCATTGATTTGTTCATGTTTAGGGTAATACTGTGACCAACCAACTTGCCCAGCTTACCACTTAAAGCTGAACAGTTAACTGTCAATCATTCTAAATTTGTGCATCTCCAAGGCATCACTGTCACCAGTTAGAGTCCCCTTGTCAACAAATTAGCACACCCCCTCATGCAATGTGAATAGCTTGGACAAAATATATTTTCATCAATTCTTAAGGCCAGTGCTACCAATTGACTATCAATTACTTTTGAGAAATACTCTTTCTTTATTCCACAATATGAAAATACAAATAATCAGATTGGGGATACATTTGTTGTAGTTCTATAATAACAAATTAAAAATCTGCAATACAAAAAGTTAAAAATATGAAGTGTACACATTTATACAGAAGAAATTTACATTATACCTGTAAACCAAACTTCGATTTGTACTCCTAAAATGAACAAAACTGCTTACACTGCACAGTTGAATAGGAATTATAAGTTATATTACAAAAACTGGCTCTTCAAACCAAATATATTTGGCAAAATTTTTTATTTTTTTTTAAGACAAACAAGTTTTAACTATGAAAATTAAAAACAATTGTTTCTGATGACTAGTTCAAACATGATCTAACACTCAGCTGTGCCAAGCCCAATGTCAGTATTCTTTAGTATATGGGATGGATCAGGTTCAATAACATTCTTGCTTTGAACAGGTAAAACAAATTTAAGACACATTAAGGCCATATATATCTCAACGATAATATTACCATCCCACACCCCTTAACACTGCAAAGTCTATCAATGTCCCTTATTATTGCATAAATGGGGAGAGTGGAAGAAATTGAGTTTCAAAAAAATTAGTATTCCTTTTCCCAAATTGCACTCTGCCATTCTTATAAAAACAGCAGACAGGTGCTCTGCATCATGTCTGCTGTTTCAGCACATTTCTAAAAACTGCATGAATTCAGATTTTAAATTCCCAATGGCAATGCCGGAAATTGATTACATAAATGTACTTGATAAGACAATATAAATGGCAGCATTGATACAAAATTAAAATATAAAAAAAGTGTTTTAATGATGCTTTCCAGTCAAAAGATTTAATTCTGCAATCTATTATTAGTGACAACTTGTTTTAGAAGTTGCTCAAGTAGTTTTTCCTAAGATGTCCCTCTTACTACCACAGATTTTGACAATATATCCTGGCCCATAATATGATTAGCAGACAGGAAATGGAAATAAAATTGAGCATTAATGTTATTCAAGGATTCTACTTAATCCAGCATTACTTAAAGTGTATTTTTATGCAACCACTTAGTTGTATTATCATAAAGCACATAAATAGTAACATATAAAACACATTGCCAAATACTTCTTCCATGGGTTTGAAAAATAGTGTGGGGAATACTGTACAACTCCAATTGTGGAGCTACATCTCCTTAACCCACAATTCCTTCAATGATAGATGCTGTCTTTAAACAAAAACAACCTTATGGTTGAGTTCATAAAACTTTACAAGGTTCTACTGAGAGATGCTTCAGTGTTCAATTTCAATTTCATGGAACCTTCATAGAACCTAGTCCCACACAAGCATTTTGCCTTCAGTGGTGCTTTCTGGCCACTGCTCAGTGATCTTTTCTTAATGAGCCAAAAAAATTGAAGCATCAGTTTTAACCCTGTAATCAATACAGTGAGTTTTGCAGCATTTAAAGACTATTGATACATTTCCTGCACAAGTCAAACCCTATACGTTCTGCAAAATACTTTGAATGGACACCATGTCCAATAATGCAATTGCAAATTTGCATATAGGTTAGATCATTAGCATTAATAAGGGTGACAATTGAAAACCCAAAGATGGAAAAGCCTGGAGACTTCACTGGCTTCCACAATGCGTCACCCACTCACTAGCTTTCTGGCATTTTTGATGATGAGGCACTCAGTCAACAACTTTTATTGATTGGACGCCACAGCTGACAGGAGGTGATTTTGCATTCTGACCTGCAACTTTCCCTGCTGAGGGAGGCTGGTTTGATCGAGGATATTTGGCTGCTGTCCCTTGACCAATGGTTTGCTAAGGACAGATAAAAATATAAATAAGCAACACCTTACAGATCTAAAGTATATGCTGATTCACCAATCCAATGTATTATTATTTTTGAAGAAAAATGTGTAGTATTCCTAATAGGGTCTTTAAACTTATTTTATTCCTTTAAGAATTTAACAGAAAATAATACTTCAGTACACCAATTTATAAAAGGAGCTTGGTTTATCATTGTCAGATAGTTGAATACCTGGAGTATTAAAGTGTGTCATCATGCAATCAAGATATATCAACAATTGTTCTCAGTACTCCTTTTGGAAAGTATTTACAATGTACAAAAAGCCCCCTCTACCTAATCAGGGTTTGAATTTTCACCAAGTTATTGCTGAATTATCCTGTGTTGTATTTTCATCACGATGATACAAATGGCTGTCAGCAAATCCAAATACAGATAAATGCCAATCACAGAATCTCTTTTTTAGTTAAAAAGCAACCATTCTGGCCAGGTGAAGCAATGTAATAAGCCTGAGAAATGGCAGTGCACAGGGATAATAGAAATAAGCTGTTAATCACATTTACAAGTTTTTGTGTTAACATTCAGTTAGTCTGGAATATATTCATTAGCTTGTCCACAAGACTCAAAGGAATTCACTGAAAATAATTTGAGATTTCAAAGATGTTGTAGCTTGAGAGGAGTTTAGGTTTCTTTTATTCAAAAAAGTGTTACTTTTTTGCTTTATACAATCATTCTAAATTTGTGCATCTCCAAGGCATCACTGTCACCAGTTAGAGTTTTAATGCAGTTTTATTATCACATTTAAACAATTTTTTCACCTATTGGTGTATTAAGAAAGGAATACACAGTAGTTCTATAAGACACTTGGGTCTAGATTTAAGTATATCCTACATTTTTATTGCAGGTCCTTAGCTCATGTCTCAGTGATAATTTTCTAACCAGTAAAATTGGAATTAAGATCATAAAAACACATGCATTCAAACAAAGGAAGGCACACATTCTGTATAATCTAGCTTATCTACCTAGAATGTAGTTTAACATTCTAGATTTGGGCTTGGTTTGAGAATTCAAAAAGGCTAAGATGAGATGCTGCACATCAACTTAAACCAAAGACCAAAAAATTAAATTCTGCTTCCTTTTTGGAAAGAAAGCATGCAAGATAAATCAAGACTTAATGTCACCAAATCTAATTTTATCAAAACTCCCAGATGTAGATACCAACCAGATCCTCGTTTAACAAATTGCCAACTTCTCAAGTTGAATCCTAAAAGTAAAAAATATCTAGGTGGGTTACTGTAAGGAATAATGTTTAGAGCCTGGGAAGCAGGTTAAAGCTAGCCCCATGATAAGTCAAGAGAAGCAGCCAAGGGTTTAAAACAATATGTTCTTTGAGTCAAAAACAGATTATGAAACCTTCAATCTGATGACTTGTAAACTGTGTAAAAGTCAAAAAATCTAACTTGAATGCAAGGTTTTCTATTTTTAAATTGAAGGTTACAGAAAGCAAAAATATAGGTTGGAATACCTTCCTTGTTTTTTTTAATGTATTTGTTTAAACAAAGTGTTCATGGGATGTAGGATTTTGGCCAGGTGGTGACCAGTCTGCTTGCATCACTGCAGTCCTTGGAGTGTTGGGATACACACAATGCTGTTAGGAAGTACAATTTGTATTCCACTACATTCCTGATTTGTGCCTGTAGACAGTGGACAAGCATTAGGGAGACAGGAGATCATGACTATAGTTATAGTTATTCACCATAGAATTCCTAATTTCTGACCTGCTCTTGTAACCAGTGTTTATATTGTCAGTCCAGGTTAGTTTCTGGTCAAAGGTAATGCACAGGATAATGACATTTGAAGATTCACATTGCTTGAGTGGTGGGTTACGAATTTTACTCCCCACTTATCAGCTCAAACCTCGATGCTACTCTGGGTCTTGCAGGTGAACCTTGTACAATCAGCAGCAAGCATCCCCACTTCTCACCTTCTGAAGGTCATCGAAGAAGCTGAAGATGGTTAGCCTAGGACATCACCCTTAGGAATTTGCAGACTTCCTGGGGCTGTGATGATTAACCTCCGACAACCACCTCCCTTTTCACTAGCGCATGATTCCAACCAGCAGAGTCCCCCTCTTCCCTCATTTTGTTAGGGCTCCTAGATGTCAAGAACAGTCACTCTCATTTCACCTCTAGAGTTCAGCTCTTTTACCCACATTTGGCTTGGCAGATGCATCATCCACTTCTGGCTGAAAGATTATTGCAAATATTTCAGCCTCATCTTCTGCACTGATGTGCTGGTCTCCCCTATTATTGAGGATGGGGATATTTGAGGAGCCTCCACCTCTAGCATGACATTGGCAGGGACCATGTAATATGTAATGATAAGTAATGGTAGGGGGTTTTAACTTTCCACACAGACTTGGACTGCCATAGTGTTAAGGGCTTGGATGGAAAGTAATTTGTTAAGCATACAAGAACATTTTTTCAGCGTGTGGATGAACCGAAGAGAAGGAACAAAACAACCTTCTCTTAGCAGGGCAAGTGATGAAGGTGTCAGTGGGAGAGCACTTTGGGGCCAGTGATAATAATTCTATTAGTTTTAAAATAGTTATGGAAAAGGATAGACCAGGTCTAAAAGTTAAAGTTCTAAATTGGAGGAAGGTGAATTTTGAGGCAGAAACTTTTGAAAGTTGATTGGGAGAGGCTATTAGCGGGTAAAGGGACAGTTAGAAAATGGGAGGCCTTTAAAAACGAGAGCAAATCTGTTGGTGAGAGGAATGCTGGATGACAGAGAAATTGAGGCTCTGGTCCAGAAAAAGGAGGGATATGGCAGGTATAGATAGCTGGAATTGAGTGAATCCCTCAAGGAGTACAAGGGCAGCAGGAATATACTCGAGGGAAAATCAGGAGGGGGGAAAAAAAGGGCACGAGATAACTTTGGCAAATAGGGTTAAAAAAGGAGAATCCAAAAAGATTCTACAAATGCATTAATGGCAAAAGAGTAACTAGGGCGAGGATAGGGCCCCTTAAAGATCAGCAAGGCTATCTATCTATCTGTAGACCTGCAGGAGATGAGTGTGATATTAAGTGGGTATTTCGCATCAGTATTTACTGTGAAGAATAACATGGAAGCGAGAGAACTTGGAGAAATAAACAGTGATATCTTGAAAAGTGTGCCTATTACAGAGGTGGTGGTGCTGGATGTCTGAAAATGCATGAAGATGGATAAATCCCCAGGACACGATCAGGTGTATCCCAGAACTTTGTGGGAAGCTAGGGAAGTCATTGCTGAGATATTTGTATCATCAATAGCCATAAGTAATGTGTCGGTAGATTGGAGGGTGGCTAATGTTGTGCCGTTATTTAAGAAAGGCGATAAGGAAAAGTCAGGGAACTATAGACCAGAGAGCTTGGCATCAGTGTTGGGTATGTTATTGGAGGGGGTTCTGAAGAACAGGATTTACGAGTATTTGGAAAAGCAAGGACTGATTAAGGATAGTCAACATGGCTTTCTTCATGGGAAATAATGTCTCACTAACTTGATTGAGGTTTCTGAAGTGACAAAGAAGATTGATGAAGGCAGAGCGGTAGATGTCGATATGGATTTTAGGAAGGCATTCAACAAGGATCCATATGGTAGACTGGTTAATGAGATTAGATCACGTGGAATCCAGGGAGAGCTAGCTATTTGGATACAAAATTGGCTTGAAGGTGGAGGGTTTTTTTCCAGGCTGGAAGCCTCCGAGCAGTGAAGGGACTCAAAGATCAGTGCTGGGTTAACTGCTTTTTGTCAGTTATATAAGTGACTTGGACGTGATTGTAGGAGGAATGGTTAGTAAGTTTGCAGATGACACCAAAATTGGTGGTGTAGTGGACAGTGGTGCAGTTTATCTTAGAATATAATGGGACCGTGATCGGATGGGCTGAGGAGCGGTAGATGGAACTTGATTTAGATAAATGTGAGGTGTTGCATTTTAGTAAGGCAAATCAGGGCATGACTTATACATTAATGATAGAGTCCTGCCGAGCAAAGGGACCTTGGGTGCATGTTCATAGTTCCTTGAAGGTGGAGTCAAGGTAGACAGGGTAATGAAGAAGGTATTTAGCACATGTCTTTATTAGTCAGTGCATTGAGTATAGGAATTGGGATGTCATGTTGTGGCTGCGCAGGACATTGGCTAGGCCACTTTTGGAATACTGCATTCAGTTCTCGTCTCCTTGCTATAGGAAAGATGCTGTGAAACTTGAAAGGTTGCTGAAAAAAAACTTACAAGAATGTTGCTGGGGTTTCAGCTATAGGGAAAGACCAAATTTTTTCCATGGAGCAGAGGCTGAGGGGTAACCTGAAAGAGCTTTATAAAATCATGAGGGACACAGATAGGGCAAACAGCCAAGATCTTTTTCCCGGGTAGGGTAGTCCAAAACTAGAGGGTATGGGTTAAAGGTGAGAGAGGAAAGATATAAAAGGGACCCAAGGCATGAGATGCCAGAGGAAGTGGTGGAGGCTGGTACAATTACAACATTTAAAAGGCATCTGGATGGGTATATCAATAGGAAGGGTTTGGAGGGATGTGAGCAAATGGGACTAGATTACACGGACAAGTTGGACTGAAGGGTCTGTTTCCGTGCTGTACAACTCTATGGCAGTGCTGGTATTCAGCAAGAGGTTTACTTGCCAACTTGTGAACTTGTCCCATAAGACTCTAGGCATGAGTCAATGATGGACTCCCAGAGCAACACCCTCCCAACTGTACACTGCTGTGCTCACCACCTCTAGTGCGTTTGTCCTGATGGTCGGACAGTACATACCCAGTCATGGTGGTGTCTGTGACATCATCTGTAGGGTATGATTTCATGGCTACGATTGTTAGGTCGTTCTCAACTGGTGTATGCATAACTTTTGGCACATCCCCTAGACATTGGGAAGGAGGACTTTAAGGTTGACAAGGTTGTACATGCTTTGGTTGCTTCAAACACCATATTCAATACCAGGTGATCTATCTAGTTTCATTCCTGTCTTTAGATTTTGTTGCAGTTTGATAGGACATCTCAGAGTACATTTAAGAATCAGACATATTGCTAAGGGTCAGCATGGCATCACACATAGACCACAGCTTATGTGTCATTGGAAATGCACTCTCACCCAAGTAAATGGTCAGTGTTCCATCACACACCCGACTTGTGCCTTTTAGATAGTGAACACTGTCTAGAAAAGAGTTACTTGCTGCAATACTCCTAGCCTCTGACTGCTCTTACAATCACAGTATTTATATGGCTGGTTTAGTTCTGTTTCTGATCAATAGCAACCCTCGGGATGTTTAAGGTTCAGCTTCATCTGCAACTCCAAATTTCTGCTTTTATTAATAAGGATGCATGAGAGGTAATCGTGAGTAACAATTGAAAATTCAAGACTCTGTAACCCTGTGATTATTAGATACAGCCAAAAACATACACTCCGATATAATCGGCTCAGTTCTTTATAAACTATGAAAGCCATCAATAAGTGGTCAGTTAGGTAGCTCTTTGCACGAACAAAATACCTGGGGCAGCCATTGTCCAGGAACAGCTACAACCTAAAATAGATTTCTAAAATGTTCAAAAACCTTTCACCCCTTGAATCTAAATGAAATACCAAATTCATTAAATAAAATAATCAAGTATGTTGAAAAAATATAGGGTCATTTTGTAGATTAGTTTCATCAAACAGAACATGCAATTGAGTTGATCCTATAAATCTCAAGTTGAAGTTCTGCAGGCAGTTAGCAAATCTGAATTCTGCATTTTAATACAATGAGAACCAATTAACATTGTAGGTTACAGCAGTTCCATAGCATGATCTCTGCAAAATCATTTATATTGCATACTGCATAATCTTGCACATTGCTCGGTGTTTGCCAGCTCGAGTATTGAGCTTTGTGATGCAAAGGCTAAATGGATAAAATAAACAGAAATTACATTTCCCTACATATTAAACACCTCAAATTAGATCACCCTTTAACCATTTAAACAGATGAAGTTAGTGCAACCTCTCTCATAAGGATGTCTCTTTAAGCCCGGGTGTAATTCTAGCAAGTTTATACTGTATCCTTTCCAATGCCAATACCTCCTTTCTGAATCAGTAATTAAGACCAAATTCAGTATTCATTCTTTGATCTGACAACTAAACCACTTCTTCACTTTTGAATTCAACACCAGGGATGATGGGCAATACTCCATTAGAATTTTTATTTACTTTTCAAATTTTATACCTGTGCAATAGCTTTTTGATTTGTGTACATGGATAGTTAAAATTCTCAAGTGTCTAGTTTCTCACCATAAAGAAAGCATTCCAATTCGTCTCAGATCTAAAGTGGACAATATCACGTTTCACCATATTGAATTCATCTGGGCATAGTTTACGCACTTAGTCTACGCACAGTTTTATCTTCTTGCCCTCATCTGCATAACATAGTGTCAAAGTTCTTATGTATGTAGTTATCATCCAAATCATTTTTGGGAAAATATCCATTGACAATTACGGTCACTGAGCATTGCTATTGTCCTTTTTATACCATGACCTAGAACCTTCCTCAAGGTGGCACCGTATGAAACACCTTGTGCAAGTTCATTTGGACCAACAGCAAAACCCTATCTGTCCATAATCTTTAAGCCACTTCCTGCTGATCTAACATGGCTAATAGGACCACTAATACAATTTTCCAGTTTTATTTTTCATTAAAAATTGCATAGTTGTGAAAACAGTAGCAGAATGCTGCTAGCAAAAGAAAAATTTATGAAAAAAATGCCACCTCAAAATAAATCGGACCGTGAATTTAAGGACTGGTTTCTGAAGATGTTAAATTGACATTACTATGATATAAAAGCAACAGGGCAGATGCTGGAAGTCTGAAAGAACAAAAACTGCTAGAAACACACTAGATCTGGCAGCACTTGTGGAGAGAGAAAAGCAGAGTTAATGTTTAAAGTCAAACAGAACTTCTTTTCAGATTTTCTAAAGAAGCCATATTTGGCTCAAAATAGGAACATTGGTTTCTATCTCCATACATGCTACCAGATCAGTTTTTTCCAACACTTTCTGTTCTCATTACTAAAGAAGTGCCACTTTTAAGTTAAAAGCCAACCACTTTTAAGTTGTCCTGTATCAATGACTTCCGAAGGTACTGCTGATCCTTCCAGCTGCAAGTTACTTAACACACTTGCATTAAAAGGATTAGAATCAGGGTGACAGAAAGGATTGAAGTGGCTGTGTTATATTTAGAGCCTTAGTGCTGAGCTGTAGAAGACCCGTCTCTTTCTTCAGTTTCTACGGGTATAATTAATCAATCGGGGTGGCTCACAGTGCTGGGGACCCAGCTTCAACTTGTCTTGGGCAACTGTCTGTGTGGAGTTTGCACATTCTCCCTGTGTCTGTGTAGGTTCTCTCCAAGTGCTCCAGTTTCCTCCCACAGCCCAAAGACGCACAGGTTAGGTGAATTGGCCAAGCTAAATTACTCATGCTAAATTGTCCATAGTATCCAGGAATGTGTAGGTTAGGTGGATTAGCCATGGCAAATGCAGGCCTACAAGGATAGACTTGGGTGGAGGGGGTGTGAGGACGAGTCTGGTTGGGATGATCTTCAGAGTGCTGGCGTGGACTCGTTGGGCTGAATGGCCTGTTTTCACACTGTAGGAATTCTAAACAAGAATAGTTACAGTAGAGAAGGAAGTCATTCAGCCCATGGTGATCACACCAACAGGGAGCAAGGAGAAAAAGGTAAATAGTGGGTATTCTCCTAGGATCAGTATTGAGGATACTGATTTTCTTGATCTATATCAATGGCCTAGACTTGTACATGGCACAATTTCAAAATCTGGAGACGACAAAAAAAACTCAGGTACTTTGAACTGTGAAGAGAATAGATAAAGACTTGAAAAGGAACAGGTGGGATGTACAAACACTTGACAAGTAAAAATTTAACAGATGTATGAAATGATACATCTTGGTAGAGATAACAAAGATAATATAAAAGATACAATTCTAAAGCATGCGCTGGAACAGAGGTGTAAAAGTGCCTAAATTATTACAGGTGGCAGGTCAGGTTGATAAGTGCTCATGAGGCTTGGGCATTATAAATAGAGGCAGAAATAAAAGCAAGGAAGGTACGATGAAACTTTATTAGAATTCTGGTTTGGCTTGAACTGGAGCAGCATGACCAATTTTGGGGTTCACTCTTTAGTAAGGATGTGAAGACTTGTGAATATTTTCTGAACCGTCTCCAATGACATACATGGATAGATTAGTGAAGCTATTCTCTTTAAAGAATGTTCAGAGGAGATTTGATAGAGATGTTCAGTCATGAAGAATCTAGGCAGTAGATGGAGAGAAACTGTTCCCAGGTGCACATGTATCAAGAACAGGAGGATACAATTTTAATAACTGGCAAAACTGGTAATTGGCAAAAGAACCAGAAACAAAAAAAAAGTGTGGAAAACATTTTTAATGCAGCAAGCAGTTATGATCCGAAATGCACTCCGAGAGTGTGGACAAGGTAGATTCAATTGAGGATTTTGAAAGAGAAATTCGTTAATACCTGAACAGTAAAGATGTGCAAGGCTTCAGAGAAAGCTTAGACCATTGTGCTATTTACTATTAGAGGTTTTCTACATTCTACAATTGGTTCAGCACTGAAGGATCTTGAGACAGAGAAAAAAGGGTTAAACAGAGGTATAGCTCCAGTATATTGATACAAATAAAAAAATGCTTTCAATGCCTCTCGAAATGAGAATGTGTGACTAATTTGCTCAGGTGTAAGGAAAGCTGATAGGATCCTGTGGTTTATAGAGGCACACAGCATAAAAGAAAGGAAGGAATGTTACACTTCTACAAATCACTGGCCAGATCATTTTTGGACTAGTGTTCAGTTCTGGACACCTCATTTAAGGAAGGATGTGAAAGCCCTGGAGAGAGTGCAAAGATTTACTAGAATGATACCAGGAATGAGGGATTTTACATACAAGGAAAGATTAGAGAAATTGGGCTTAATCTTCTCTGTTCCAAGGAGAAGAGGTGATCTTATTGAGATGTTCAAAACCATGAACCAGGAGTGAGATGAAGAGAAAGTTTTTTTCCCTCTTACTCAGAGTTGGTAGGATTTGGAATGTGCTGCCTAGGAGAATGGCAGAGGCAGATTCCATATGAGATTTCAAAAGAGAGCTGGATATATTTGAAAGATGAGGAATTTAGAGGGCTACAGAGAAAGGGCTAGAGAATGGGACTGGCTGGGTAGCTTTTTAGGGAGCTGGTACAGACACAATGGGTTGAATGACATTTTCCTGTATTGTAAATTCTACGATTACTGAACTTCATCCACAGAACGAATCCGGAGGATTCATGGATATAAGTAGCATTATTTCACTACATCTGAAGCAATTACAGTTCCACTCAGCGTTTTGTTGAAAAAAGGAAGTTACCTGTGTAACTGGATGATGTTTTTCTACACATACTGTAGTCATTGGTGGTGCCACTCCCTGGCATGATCCAAATTTAACTCCTTTCAGGAATGGGTCAGATCGCCCTGTCAAACGTGCCATTATGGTTTTTCCAGCGTTTTGCTGTGTTGATATCACGCACTTAGTCATGGGCTAAGCAGGATAAGAAAGTTGGTTTTAAAATAAAAAAGTTGCACATCATTTTTATTTAAAATAATGAACATACCAAAAATGATAGGGAAGTATGGCCAGTGAAGTAAAGCCAGTACTTCTCTCCCCTCTGATTTCTAAATTTTATTCCACCCTTCCAGCTATTAAAACTCCTGCTGCAGCCAGTTTCAGGGATGTTCAAATCCCTTTGGTACCTTGTGCTTGTGCTGGAAGACAATGATACAGGAGACATTTTGATACAACCTATGAATTGGCTAATATTCATCTATGAGCCTAGATGGTGAACACAGTCAGGCTATTTGATGCAACAGCAACATAATTAAAGCTTGATCTTTACCAGTGTGAGTGAATCTTGCTAAAAGGAGCAAGAGGACAGTGATTTAGCAATCTGTCCATATCCTTCGTGCGAATACCCTAATTCACTAATGTCTTTCAGGGAAGGAAATTGCCATCTTACCTGGACTGGCCTACATGTGACTCCAGACCCACAGCAATGTGGTTGGCTCTTAACTGCCCTCTGGGGAAGTAGGGATGGGCAATAAATATTAGCCTAGCCAGTGATGATTCATTCCGTGAATGAATAAGAAACAAATGCCTGGTCTGAGTTCATTAACTTTCCTGAGTCTGTGAATAAAGTTTGGACTCGTGTCCATAGAGCAGTGCAACATCTGTCTGTACCAAAAGCATATCTGATCTCATATCTGTTTTTATTAACAATGTTAATGAAGTAACAAACAAAAGGCAACTGAGCAGGAACCGGACATGAAACTTTGTATACAAAACTAGTGCGCAGGACAACATACATTTAGCTAGGTCTATAGATCAAAACTGTAAACAGTTATTGCGATGGCTTCTCCCACGTGTAGGTTGAGAAAATTCAAATGCATCGTCCGATTCACTGATCAATACATATAAACTGCTAAATGGTTTCTCAGTCTCAAAGTATAGTAGAATATCTCAAGATATTTGAGGAACACAATCTTTATGCCATTAGATGATCCAGCTGCAAACAATGTGAGATATAGGTGCATAAATTAACACTGGCAACAATGTGAAATGGATAAATTAGTAGTCTTTTTAAAATGAAATCATGGTTAAGAAATTTGGATAGAGTGCAAAATGGGCTTGTGATTTGACCCTTGAATTTTTGGTTTTGGTTCGACTGAAAGGAAAATGTATATACTATGGACTCAAATAGTCTTGAATTATTACCAGTTTCTGAGTGGCTTGGAATCCCGATGCTGAAGAGGACATAGCAACAGTAACTGGTTGAATACTTGGCTCCCCAGGTCTGGGTTGATCAACATTTGTGGAACCAAAATGTAAAGCAACCTAAGTAGAAATGATCAAAACAGTTTAAAAACTTACAGCAAGCAAGTTAGGTTTCAGCTGCACACAATTTCCTGCATAATGTTTAACTTTATACACTTATTGACTAGTATAGAAAATGTTCTAAATGTGTTTACCAAAGTATAGTCGAAAATAAATTGCCAAAAGGAGGAATTATGAAGAAACATAAAATTTGATCAGAAAAATTTTTTTGGTCAAGTTCGAGGGAAACACAGAAATGAGAAGCCTGGACTGCCAAAGGCATCGTTATCAATACTGGTGAAATCTAAGGGAAATGCACAAAAAGCAATTTCAGGGAAAAAGGAGGAATGGAGGGGATGAAATCTTAGAGGGTTTTAATTGGTTTCTAGGAATTGATAAGGTAATAATAGGATGGTAAACTGGAGCAGTTGGAGGATGAAGAACTTGTGTAGGTCGGTGAGAATAGCAGAAACGGGCAACAGAATACAGATTTTCTGGATGAGCTGAATGGTTGAGGTAAAAACATAAGCATTTGCAAGGATGAAGAAATGGACAATTTTGCAGATGGAACCTAGTAGCATCTGGGACTCAGCTATGATGTGAATAGGATGTTGCTCGTATTCCCAATCAAGTTCTACCTGAGAAAGTGAGGTAGGAGATTGAATTAATGTATAGCATTGAATCTGTGATGAGGCCAAAGACAAGACCTTTATTCTTTCAACCCTCAACTGAATAAAATCAAAGTTCACTTGATGAAAAATGCCAGCAATGCAGCAGTAAAAAGCACGTGGTACAAAGGCAGAGTGGGGATTGCTGACTTGCATGGGTACATGAGTGTGTGGCTGGAGATAAGAGGATGGAGGATAAATAGTTAGGAGAGATTCCAAGGACAATTGAAGGGTGGATTAAATGAGCAAGCAGTTGAAGATGTTGCATAGGTAGATGTATTATGAAGAAAGGGCAGTTCAACAGAGCTAGACAAGGGTGGAGAATTTTTGGGGTAGGACAGTTTGATTGATAAAAGTCAAATTTACAGAAAGAGACAAAATTGAGCATCATGAAAAAAGTATCAGAAGATAGCATTGGTGACTTTAAGCCGGTTCAGTTCTGTGCCAGGATTTTTATTATACAGCAAATCTGCTTAATGGTGGGTGTCTTCCCCTGGGATGGGGGGGGGATTTAAAAACTAGGAGGCATATTTTTAAGATGAGAGGAGACAGAGAGAGAGATTTATAAAAGACAAGGGGCAATTTGTTTTTTTTTTTGAAAGAGAGAGAGGGTGGTTTGTATGCGGAATGAACTTTTTAAAGCGGTGGTGGATGTGGGGGCACTTCGATAAGTACACGAATAGGAAAGGTTTGGATATGGGCCAGGAGTAGACTGGTGGGACTAATTTAGTTTGGGATTATGTTTAGCATGGCCTCGTTAGACCAAAGTGTCCATTTGAATTTCTCCATTGATACTATTGTGGAGTTTAAAATTTCAACATAAAAACTGGATGGAGGCAAGGGTGGGTGGAGAAATACAGTAGGAATAAAGAAAATTCAGCCTTACCAAGGAAAACACTCGCATATTTTAGTTATTTTTTTCAAAAGAAAATTACAACAGTTAGTGCACAGTATAGGGAGAATCAGTCATATCAGGAGTATAAATTGAAAATACAAGCCAATTAACTGTGACATTCAACAAGTTGACAAGAGGACAGAATATTTTTAGTTGTCTCTGCAACAGTGACCTTTAGTGACAAAAAGATGCAATTAAAGCAGAGATGTATTAAAGCAAACACTGAAGAGTAAAAATGAAGATTAGGAAGTATAACAGCAAGAACAAAAAAGGTGACGTAAAAGCCCAAATTCCTTTTAATCAGTATGGAAAAAGGTTGATCAAAAGCTAAAACCACCCAGGAGCAAAAAGACTACCTTGTAGTCAAAAAATGACAATAGAAGGCAGATTTGTGTACTGGCAGTTGGCAAATAGGAATTTTTATACTTTAAAAATTAATGGGACTAGGAGGTTTGCTTAGTTGATAGGGCAAAAACAAAGAAAAAAAAAAAGACAAATAAAGGGGTTGTACCTAATAATAGCAATCTTTCAAAAGGAAGAAAAAAGTGGCAAATATTCTATCCCATTCAGATCACACTGGAAAATGCAGGTCAGTTGGCTTTGCCTCAGAGATGTGGCTAGGGGCCCTGAAATTTCTCCGCATTATTTCCACCTGGTTTGAACTGCCAGCCTGAGACTTTGTTTCAAATGGATTGAGCAGGTACCTTTGCAAAAATTGAGCCTCTTGAAGCATTCATTAAGACCAAGCCAGCATTGGATTTTTTTGCTACTTGTCATAAGATACAAGAGCACAATTTGACCATTTGGCCCATCTACTCAGTTATTTGATCGTGGCTGATATTGTTCAACCCCATCCTCCTGCCTTCTCTCCCAACATTTGATCCCCTTACTAACCAAGAACACTCAATGACTTTGCCATGGAAGGCTGTTAAGGCAATGAGTTCCACAGATTCAGTTCTGAGGAAGGGTCACCGGACCCGAAACATTAACTGTTTTCTCCCTCACAGATGCTGCCAGACCTGCTGAGCTTTTCCAGCATCTTTGTTTTTGTTCCTGATTTACAGCATCCGCAGTTCTTTTGGTTTCCACAGATTCACTGTCTGGCTGAAGAAATTCCTCATCTCAGTTCTAGAGAGTCACCCCTTCACTGAGGCTGCGCCCTCAAGTCTTAGTCTCTGATGAGTGGAAACATCATCACCACGTCCATTCTGTCCAGGGCTCTCCGTATTCTGTACGTTTCAATGGCATTCCCCCTCATCCTTCTAAATTTCAAGTCCATACCCACTCATCATATGACAGGTCTTTAATTCTTGTGATCATTCTTGTAAACACTCTCTGATCCCCTCCAAGATGACCACATCCTTCCTTAGACATGATGCCCAAAACTGCTCACAATATTCCAAATGCTGTCTGGTACAGTATCAAGTTTCAGCCTTAGCAGTACATCCCTGCAAACTGAACTTTCACATTAACCTTAAGCGAATACTGAACTAGAACTCCCATGTCCCTTTGTACTTCATATTTCCAAAGTCTTTTCCCATTTAAGAAACAGACTATGCTTCTGTTCTTTATACCAAGGTGCATAACCTCAGTTTCCCACACTGTATTCCATCTACCACTTCTTTCCCACACTCCTAGCCTGTCCAAGTAGTTCTGTAATCTCCCCACTTCTTCAACACTACCTGTCACCCCATCTATCTTTGTCATCTGCAAACTTAGCAATAGTGCCCTCAGTTCCTTTGTCCATTGTTAATGAATAACATAAATAATTGTGGTCTCAATATTGACCCCTGCAGAACTCCAGTACTCATCAGCTACCAGCCTGAAAGAGACCCCTTTATTCCTACTCTGTCCTCTGCTAGTTAGCCAGGCTTCTATCCATGCCAGAACCTTGCCCCTAACACCACGGGCTCTTATCTTATTTAGCAGCCTCCTGTGTGGTACCTTGTCAAAGGCCTTCTGGAAAACCAAATCGATCACATTAACTGTCCCTCCTTTGTCTAATTTCCTTGTTACTTCAAACAATTCTAACAGATGGACTTGATCATGGATTGGGGGTGGGGGTTGGGGTCTGGGTGGCATCCGCTTTGGAGGTTCGATGTGGAATTGATGGGCCAAATGGTCTGGATCCACACTGTAGGCATTCTATGAGTAGTCAATGTGACGTCACAACACTGAATAGTGAACTGCCTCACAACAGCATCAAGTTACTGCGGAGGGACCAGGAATATTTGAGCAAAAAAGGTACCTTTTTTTTCCTGAACAGGTTATATTTTCTTTTTGCTGCCCAATTTTCCCTTGACAGTGTCTACACTTGCTGAAGTATGGCTTCAAAAATATTGGAATTCCTCTATTCCTTGCCCAAACGGTATATGAGACAAGACAAATAATGTCCTCTCAGCAAATTATATTGCTGAACAGAAAGATTTGAGTGAAAAATTGTAAAATGTGAGAAACCCAGAACATTTACCATACTTTCCCAATTCTGGAACTGGCAACTGGCAGAATGAAGAACTTGTTAAAAAACAAGTATGCCATGTGGCATAATAAGCAAGTCATTTGAAATGTTAATAAGCGACACTCCTGGATCACAAATAATATTTATTGAACACTAGTTTTTCTCCATTAAAAAAGCAGACACAAGTCATACAAATCACTGAGTCTGCTCCGCAGTACTTATTTTTTCTATACTTACAACTCAAAATGAGAACACATACTTAGGGAATGGCAAAACAAACCAAGTTATTTTAACAAAGTATCATTTTTTAAAATGCATCTCAAAAAGACCACACCGTAGTGGGTGTGGTACTTTTAACCTCCAACTCAAACATTGCTAAATATGTAACAGATGGTTTTCAGGCTGTACCAACTTGGTTTCTCAGATTCAGCATCAAGGCCTGCTCAAATTAGTCGGCCTTTTATGTACCATATCTGGTAAGAGAACACCATTCACATTTGAACAGAACAGGTTACTTATAATATAGGGGAGGTGATGACCTAGTGGTATTATCACTAGACTGTATTTCCAGAGATCTAGGTCGTGCCCCAGGGTCCTAGGTTTTAATCCTGCCACAGTATATGGTAGAATTTGAATTCAATAGAAATTTGGAATTAGGAGCCGAAAGATGACCATGTAACCTCTGCCAATTGTCAGGAAACGCCCATCTGATTCACTAATGCCCTTTAAAGGAAGGAAATCTGTCCTTACCTGGTCTGGCGTACGCACGAGCCCAAACCCAAAGCAATGTGCCTGACTTTTAACTGCCCTCTGGGTAATTAATTCTGGTCTATCCAGTGACACCCACGCTCTGTGGATGAGTAAACATGTAAAAAAAATTGCTGAATGAAAATAACACGTGCTTAAATCAGTTTTTGAGAAACAAAGGACGACTTCCAAATTGTGGGTATTAAATTATAATCTACAAATCAGATTTAGAAAGCCAGGAAGTTCATTTCTTACTGTTTTATGTATGGAAGCTTTACACAGAATTGATAGCACAGAGCCTGGCCATTCAGTCCAACTTGTTCCTGCCAGCATTTAGGCTTCAAAAGTCAGGATTACTTTCACTGGTGTTCAGATGAATGGAGGGTAGTGGGGCGGTGGTGGGATCTCAGAGACTTAAAAATTCTAACAGGACTAAACAAGGTAGATTCAGGGAGGATGTTCCCAATGGTGGTCATGTCCAGACCCAGGGGTCACAGTCTGGGGATTCGGGGTGGACAATTTAGGGCAGAGGTGAGGAGACATATCCTCACCCAAAGAGTGGTGAACCTGTGGAATTCATTACCACAGGAAATAGTTGATATCAAAACATTGAATGTATTCAAGAGGTGGCTAGATATAGCACTTGGGGTGAATGGGATCAAAGGTTACGGGGCGAAAGCAGGATTAGGCTATCGAGTTGGACAATCAGCCATGATTGTGATGAATGGTGGAGCAGGCTTGAGGGCCAAATGGCCTCGTGCTGCTCCTATCTTCTATGTTTCCTTTCCACTGTAACCATATTAACGTAAACGTCCCTTTCACTCATGTGCTGATCTAGCTCCTCCTAAAGTGCAATTTATCTCAAAGTCTCCTCACGGCAGTGCCTTCCAAGTTCTTAAGGCAATGATATTACTTTCCAGCACTGTTTTTATTATGCTTGATACAGCTGTGCAGTTCAGGAGCTGAACAACACTGACCAACACTGACCCCCAAGCAATCAATGATGGAGGGCTTGAAAATTAAGGCACTAAAGACTGAAAGAGACTGCTGGTATTTATCTTGTACATGGTTAACTGTCTGGTACTTGGCAGGTACAAGTCATTAGCAAATAGCATTCAGTCTATCAGCTAGCATGGATTGCTTTTTTTTTCCCCCTTTCATACAATGGGCCAACATCCCAAATTACATGAATAACCAGTTGAAATGCAAGAGGCAGTGGAGTGTCAAATTGCTGTGGGTTTGGAGTTACATACGGGCCAGATCAGATAAGGATGGCATGACTTCCTTCCCTAATGGACATAGGTGAACCAAATACACTTTCAAGACCCATTGATAGTTTGTCACTATTCCTCAGGCTAACTTCAAACTCCTGATTTCAGTTAAGCAAATTTTAGTTCTAGCAGCTGCCACAGGATTTGAATAAGTGCCTCCAGAGGATTAGCATGGGCCCCTGGGTTACTCAGTGACACTCCATTACACAATCATATTCACTTTACCTGGTTGACTTTGAGCAATACTCCTGTGTAAACTTCATGATGATCTATGCTGCAGCTTTATGGACTTGGGTGAATTAAACGGCCTGGTGGACAGTGTACTCTCCACGATGAGTAACCAGAAACCATGCAGGTGAATAAATCCCTCAATAGTTTCACAAAAACAATCAAGACTGCTTTCCTGCACATCCAAAAAGCTGCTCACTATAAAGATACATCACTGGAAGTTTGAAAGACCACCTCTGTATAGTGTACATTTCTTCCAAGGTTCTTGCAGTACTATAGCTCCATTTCCACAGGCAAAGGGTTTCAAAATTCAGCCTAATGCCTCTAAGAAGAGTTATCGACAAAGTTGATACAAAGGTCTAATCTAAGCACGGCTGTGTACTGAGAGAGAGGACAGCCACATGAGTAACTCCAGACTTTTTCCATTTGTGGCATCTGGGACTAGGGCAGAAAACTCACCTCAGGTCTTTTACCTCTAACCATAGGGTCACTCATTCCCAAAAACCAAATCATTGCCATTGTTTTCTCTATAGCCGAGACTACAATCTCAGACTTTGAAACTTCTAATGAACCCTTTATATATTTAAAAGGGTTAAGTGAAAACTGCTTTGGTGCAAGAGCGCTTATTGACAACAGTAGTGGGCAGATCAACAATTTATCAGTTAGGTCACTGGACTAACTTCAATTAGTTCAGCTGGCAAAGGAGCAATGCTCTGAAAGCTTGCGATTTCAAACAAACCTGTTGGACTATAACCTCATGTCATGTGACTTCAGACTTTGTCCACCCCAGTCCAACACTGGCACCTCCACATCATAACTTCAATTAGACACAAGGTTATTTGCCCAAAATATTTATTCAGTTTCTCTCCATAGATGCTGCCAGACCTGAATATTTCCAGCATTTTGTTGCAGAATTTTAATTTATAAAAAGCAACTTCAGCAATTTATCACAGGACTCTGATGCTATTCCCACCAAGAATCCTTTGCCTTTTTGATTTGGATGCACATGGAAGCTAACCAACCAGATTGTCTATAAAAAAGGACGTGAAAGGATGAAGGAAGAAGGGGCAAAAAGTAATAGAAAGATTAACAGGCGCTAATAACAATTCTTAAAAGTTTTGAAAACCCTGAGCCACACATCCTTAAATATTGATGCACTGTTTTGCTTGGAATTTTATTAATTTATTGCTTTGAACTATTGCTGCAAGTTGACATAAACAAAGTTAAAATATTCATTTGTCTTACTACACTGTCAACAATTCTGCATCTAAAACCAAAATTTCAATAAGGAAGCAAAGGACATGCTGGTTCCTGAAAAATTTAAAAACACACCAAATAGTTCAATAGGACAAAATTAGAGTAACAAATTAATCAAACTTTAGCTATTGGAAATAATATTAGTACACACAAAAGTGCCAAGAACTGCTGTGGCGCTGCTTTCATCATCATGGAGAGGACTGTGAGGCCATAAACATGACCCCAGTGCTTCAGAGAACTGTTACAGTATGGAGAGCAACTTAGCTTCAGCAATCCAGGAGATTTCAAATTAATTCAAATTTTAGATTTAGTGCATGAAATTTTATAAACGCCAACTTCATTGGCTGAGATGCTAATCTCTTACCAATAGCTAGATAAAACTGAGCACTGCATACATTTTTTTAGAACAGCTGCAAATTTTTAAAAACCTAATACTGCAGATCAGAAATAAAACACACATTTTTACTAATCCAAATTTGTACACGCTCCTCATTCAATTGATTGGACTATCATTAATTCTGGTGATAGAAGCTTTAGAACTCAGCTGGGAAGAGTCAAATCACACAGCATCCAGTAAGGGAAATAAAAGCAAGAAGCAAGCCGATTCATCCAAGATGCAGGAGCACAGGTAAACGGGTCTTCAGTTTGTATCTGTGACTACAATATCTAACGACCCCTTTATCATCTGATGACCAAACTCAAAAAAAGACTTTCAAACATTCAGCAGGTTTCACCTTGGCATTCTTTGTTTCAGTGGAATTAATCTCAATAGCTGAAGTGCAAGAAAAGGTGCGTTCTTAAAAGATTCAAAATTTATTTGCTTTCCTTTGAAATGCAGGCCTGGTTCAAACGTGGGCAAAAACAGCTGAACTCTAGAGGAAGACAGAGTGACTAATCTTGACATCAAGGCCACATTTGACTAAATTGGACACCAAGGTAACCCGGCAAAACTCGAGTCATTGCAAACTGGGGGAAAGCTTCACTGCTTAAGAGTCGCTCCCAACATAAAGAAAGATAGATGTGGCTGTTGGAGGAGAGTCACTTCAATGCCGGGACATCACTTCATACTGGTAATGGCATCATCATTGCTGAATCCCCCACAATCAACATCTTGGGGTTCCCCTTCAGAAACTGAACTAATTAGCTATACAAATACTGTGGATGTAAGAGCAGTTTAGAGACTAGGATTCCTGCAGCAAGTAATTACCTTCCCGATTCCCAAAGCCTATCCACCATCAAGACACAAGTGATAGAATACCCTCCAGTTGCCTGAATGAGTGCAGCTCCGATAATACTCCAGTATCCAGTACCCAGTACAAGGTAGCCCATTTGATGATGCCAAATTCACAAACATTCATTATCCCAGCGACATGCAGTAGCAACACTGTGGACCATCCACAAATATGCTGCAGAAATTCACCAAGGCTTTTAGGTAGCACCTTCCAAATCCCTGACTACTACTGTAGAGAGGAAAAGGCAGCAGATACATGGGAACAAAACCATCTGCAAATTTCCACTCAAGCTACTCACCATTCTGACTTGTATTGCTCTTCATTCACTGTTGCTGGGTCAAAATTCTAGAACTCCCTTTCTAACAGTATTGAGAGTGTATCTACAGCAAATGAACTGCAAAGGCTCAAGGTGGCAATTCACCACCACCTTCAATAACAATTATGGATGGACAATAAATGCTGGACCAGCCAAAGCCTACAGTACCTGGAAACTAAGTAGCACTGGGGAAATGAAATCTTGCTGCACCATTCATGCAACCGTAAGACCATCCTCTCAAACACTCATTGACACATATTGCTGCTCTTAGTTTTTCAAAGACCAATCCCAACATTTAAATCAAGTCCAGTTTATTGCATACCATCCGATCAGATTCGAAAGGAATTGAAGGATCCAAAGTTGTAGACATAGGAGCAACCAAACCTCCATCTGCTTGGGGTGCAGAGTCAAAGCAGTGATTTGGATCATCTCTTCTGTGTTCAGAGTCAGACTCTCCTGATTTTGGAAGGAAATACATAATTAGAATTTGACAAAGCAACAAAAATTCATACAAAAATTTTTCAATTTGCACGGCAGAAAATTCTAAGAGCATTTAGGCAATCCTCCAGCAGGGCAGAATTAATATGTACAAAATGTGTGGTGGAGTCTAGTGAAATTAAGTGCTAACTAGTTAATCCACAATGGCTAATGTTATGAAAGACCGTTTTAACATTAATATCCTCTTTCTTTCCCTATCCAGATTATTTAGTATCAATTCTTCAATATTGCTAGAAAGTGGGAGTAGTGTAAATTTACAGTAGCGTTGTGTTAGTGCGGACTCCATGTTTCAAAGGACCTCTTTTGTACTGTATGATTCTATGATTCCCTAATCAACAGCGTTACTTAGAACTTTAAAGGACATCGTAAAGTCAAGAAATGTTGAAACCGCAAATGACCATCAATATGGTGATCAGGGAAAAAGTGCTTAGTATAATATTACATTCTTACTACTTGGTACTACTAAGGAGGACCACAACAGCTACTACTGTTGATGCTCACACCAGAACACAAGTAATAACAGAAGGCTATATGGTCCCTTGAACCTGCTCCACTATACACTAACATAACTGATCATCAACAACTGTTCTCCCCCCAATCCATATCTCTCAATTCTCTTACAGTCCAAACATCTATGGAGCTCCACTATGGAGTTACTGACCAGATGACCACTCACAACTCTCTAGACAAGAATATTTCAAAAGACTCACAAGCTAAGTAAAGAAAGTTTTTAATCCTGCATGAGGTCCTGCACTATTAAGCCAGGGAAGCAACCTCTCAGTACCTAGCCTGTCAAGCCTTTAATAATTTTATATATTTCAATCTTCAGAAATAGTAATCGAAATACAAATTGCATTGAAATGTCCCATAACATTTTTTTTTTTTTTTTTTAAAATCATTCATGGGATGTGGGCATCACTAGCTAGGCCAACATTTATTAACCATCCCCAGTTATCCTTGAAAAGGTAGTGATGAGCTGCCTTCTTGAAGTGGCATTAGGAATCTAAATGAGACTCTGGGCCATGAGATATTTGGGCAGCCAGTCGAAATCTTGGTCAGAAACACGTTAAGGTGCATCTAAAATGTGGAAAGGAAGATAGACAGGCATAAAGGGTTAGAATGGGAATTCCAGAATTTAGGGGTCAGGCAGCTAAAGATACTGCAACCAACTGTGGTGAAAAGTTTGATTCATCTTCTGCTAGCTACCTGTGAGGAGAATGGAGTTGGTGTCTAGAAAGAAGCACTTTAGGCAAGGATTGAAGAAAATGGTTTCGGTCTTCCCAATATTCAATTGACAGAAATTTCTTATCTTGTACTAAATATTATACAAATTCTTACAATTCAAATGGTGGAAGAATAGAAAAGTGATGGTGACAGAGTTGGCGTTATCATCAAAACTGTTTCCATAATGGCAAATGTGAAAGAGGGAAGGCCAGATCCTGAGGGATACCAGGAGTAAGTGCAATTGCAGGAAGGGAAACAAATGTAGGTGATTCACTGATTAGCTAGGCTAAAAAAAGTAAGTAGAGTGCCACCTAGTGGGAGAAGAACTGTTTGCAGGCCATGACAGATGCAGAGAGTGTGAATATGGCAGTTGACATAAAAGGGAATACAAAAATAAAAAGTGAACCTATTAGATTGAAGGGGATGGTATAAATACTCAGAGGCCTTGGGCAAGGCGAGAATACTTAGTGTATACTCGGTATCATGATTAATCAAGGAGGATAATGCTGGCAAGAGAGATCATGGGTGCTCGAAAATTATTTGAAACAGTGTATTGGAAATGCTAGTTTCTTAGAGTAGATATTTCACCCAGTCCAGATGGCTTGCGTCCAGGTTGCTAAAGGAAATGGGAATGAAGATAATATTTACTCCAATTTTCCCCAAAATAGAAGAGGCCAGAGGTTTGGAGATTGGCAAATGTGACATCCTCATTCAAGAAAAGGAATCAGGATACTCTTGGTAACTACAGGCTGATTGGCTTAACACCAATAATAGTGAAGATTTTAGAAGGTGCATTGCCATGGCTCACCAAGACTCCTTGAATAGTACCTTAGAAACCCACAAGGGCAAGAGCTACAGGTACGCGAGAACACTACCACCTGCAATGTTCTGGCATTACATCACCATTCCTCCACTGATACTGGATTGAAATCCCTTCCCAACAGCACTGTGGAATACTTACACCACTTGGGTTGAGGCAATTCAGAAACAAGCTGCCACTACCTTCTCCAGGGTAATGAGCGATGGCAATTAATGCTAGCATAGCCAGTGATGCCCACATCATAAAAGAATTCAAGTGGCCAACACATTGAATTCAAGAAAGTGCAAAAGAATAAGCCAGACATTAAAATCATAGGATCATAACTGTTACAGCGTAGGAGGAAGCCATTAGACCCATTTTGTGCCTGCACTAGTTCTATTACCTAGAGCCAGTCTCTTCCCCATTTCTATCCAAATAATCATCCAGTGCTCTCAATTATCTCAACTGTACCTACTTTCATCACATTTCCAGGCAGCACATTCCATACCCTACTTGCCTTGAAAAAAATTCTTCTCACATTACTAAATCTATGCCGCTTGTTCTTTATTTTTGTATGAGTGGGAACTGCTTCTCCTTATCTACTCTATTCAGCCCACTTACAATTTTGAAAACCTTAATTAAACCTCTTCAAGAGACCCAACATCTTCAATCTTTCCTCATAACTGGAATTTTTAATTCCTGGAACCATTCTCAAATACCATTTCACTCTGCTGCATTCCCATCGTTCTTATAATGTGACACACACAACTGTACACAATGGTCCAGCTGAGCTCTAACAAGTGTCTTGTACAAATTCAAGATCACCTCTCTGCTGGTTTTCTTTTTCCCTATTAATAAATCAGAGAACACTACACTATATTAACTGCTGTCTCCACCTGTCCTGCTATCTTATGATCTCTGACGTACACACCAGCTCCCTCTCCTCCGGCACTCTGTTTTGTATTGTCCCTCAATGTTCTTCTGACCAAATCAGATTTTCAGAAAAGTTTGTTTAGACTTTCAGAATGATTACAAATTCTCACTGATTTAAGGCCTGACAAAAATTTCCTTTGCAAGGCAACACTCAGATTTAAATAATAATCAGGAAAATATGAAGCAGTGTTAGAGACACCAAATCACCTGAAGTTTGAAAAATTTAAGAACAATGCCACAGCATAGTAATTTCTTCACGGAGGTATGTAGAGTTCAATGAGGAAAATAAATTCCTAATGACTCATTTCATTAAGATGAGCTCGTAGTGAAGAACTTGAAGTATTCCGATGTAACAAATTTTGGTCAAATTGAGCGATTAGAAGATCTTGTCATTGCTGAATTTGAAGTCCTGGGGCCAAAAAGAAAACTGGATACCCCCATTTGCAGATCCAACGATTTTCATAGGGAAACCAGTGTACAGATTTCAAAGGGAGGACAGTTTTGGGCTTAGTAATGGTGCATACCATATTGGAATAGCACACTAGCAATTGTGTACAAGCTCATACATGAAGAACAGGGATGTGAAAGAAGTTGTAGTATGGCAATCAGCATTAGAAAAACCCTATCCCTAGGGACGTTATTGATGGTAGAAGGTTAGAGATCTGGCAGACTGAGAAATGCACTAGCAGTTTCCCAGAATTTTACACCATCATATGAATACACTTGCTCTATAACTATAAAGTCAACCCATAATTGAAATCTGATGGTATATGCTGAAAATGCAGTGTTCTCTTTCATAGTAAAAGTGTCGTGCAGATGAGTTCTAACTGAATCCACGCAATACAAAAAAAAAACAAAATTATCTTCATGTTTCTAAACTAAATGCAAACGTTTATTAAATCCATCAACTATTCCATTTCAGTAGTAGAGATCAAAACTATACTCTGGGAGTTTTTCATAGAGCTGCAGTATTTTAAGCAAATGAAATGTAGGATACACCTCCTGTTTAACCATAGTTTTATCTTCAGAATTGAGCAGAGTCAGAACTGAGTCAGTTCTAAAAGCAAATCTTGTACTGCAGAATTTCACTAGCAGTAGCTGCAGTTATTCCCACAATTCACTGAAAATACACTTACAATAATCTCCATTAGTATAGGTTTAGCGATCAACCTCCAAATTAATGCCAAATTTAACAATCATTCTTCACATTCTGAACCAATCCATTGGTAAATCCAGTAGTTAATTAAAACAAATAAGAACAAAGAACAAAGAACAAAGAATTAGGAGCAAGAGTAGGTGAATTAGCCCCTCAAGCCTGCCCTGTCATTTAATAGGATCATTGCTGATCTCATCTCGGCTTTGACTCCACTTTCATCCCTGCTCCCTATAACCCTTTAAAAGATCTGATTTAACTGATTACTTAAGATTTATCTCTTCAAATTTATTCAGTGTCCCTGCATCCACCACGGTGAGATAGTGAATTCACAGATTCACGACCCTCTGAAGCAAGTCCGCCTCATCTTAGTTTTAAGGGGAGAGGAGGCAGATTTAAAACAGTAACCTTGTTCTAGGAGCAAATTATTGCAGATGCTGGAATCTGAACTGACAACAAAAAGTGCTAAAGATTGTCGCAGGTCAGGCAGCATCAATGGACAGAAAGCAAGCTAATGTTGAGTTGAGATGACTTTTCAGAACTGAAGTGTGGAGGGGGCAGCATTTATGCAATAGTTGGGGGGCGGGGGGGGTGGTGAGGGAGGTGGGGGAAGAAAGGATGCTGATAATTCAGATTACGTGATTGGAATGTGAGAATGGCAGAACAATGGTGTGACTAACTGCCAAACTGGAGAGATGACAGTCTCACTGGGGTGGGAGGAGGGGAGAGAAGACATGGTGACAGAAACGAAACAAGCAATTTGCA